TGTGTGTGTTTGTGCAGGTGTGTGAGAGGACAGGAGACCTGCTGGTGTGTGACGGACACTGTTATGGAGCCTTTCACCTGCAATGTATTGGTCTGTCAGTTGCTCCCAGGGGAAAATTCTTTTGTCATGAATGCAAAGCAGGTGAGTACGCACGTTGGGACAGACATGAGTGTAGATCTGTGCCTGATCATAAAATGTGTGTTTTTACATACTTGAGTTTAGAAATTCAGATTTCTTTGTGCTCCCTCCAGGTGTCCACACATGCTTTGTGTGTAAGAAGTCTGGGGGGGTAAAGCGCTGCATTATACCACTGTGTGGGAAGTTCTACCATACCGACTGCATACTGGCCTACTCCGCAACGCAGCCGCACAACAAAGGCTCCCGCTGCCCTCTGCATGTTTGTCTGTCCTGCCACATCACCAACCCCCTCAATGTCTGCAGCTCCAAGGGTAAGCTCCAGAGCTGCACATCGTAACTATTACATTTTGAAATGATCAATGCAGATTAGAGCCAGGAAAACCTCATGGCCTCACACATTTCCTGATTATTTCGAGCTCAGGTCTGTGGCCTGTGCACTTGTCAGAGTAAAGGGATGCTTTGTGCTTTGGAGTCTGCTTGGTAAAGATTCTACTGTATCCATCACAACATCTTGTAGTTTGCCTCCAACCAAAAACATTACTCTTCCTAATAATATAGAGATCTCTAAGTTAGTTAGTATTGCACCCTTTATTCCTCATAGAGCTGTCTGCACATATGTTTTGCTTACGCTCACTCTGCCTCCCGAACCCTTGTGCTATCATCTATAATGTTGTTACAGTTCATGCTGACAGTCAGACCTCATAGCTTAAGCTGTGGCTGAGTACAGTACGTACCAGTGAGTGGCATTTAATGCGGTTCTGTCACACGTGAGGCTTCTCTCCTCTCCAGTTTACTTCAAAACATGTATTCTGAGATTCCTGACACCATCGTTTGTTAGTTTGAATAAGATTGAAACATTTTTTAGTTTGATGACCAGAAATATCAATACCTACCATGTCTACCGAAGATGCTTTAAGCAAAAAATTTTTGGCATGTTTGCTCATGAGTCCTTAGAAACTTGAAAAAGCTCCTGATTCTGGCAGTACAGTGTGTGTAACCTCCTATTGTGCCAGTTTGACCTCTGTAACTACTCAAAACAGTATAACACGTATGTTAAATTCTGCACATAGAGATCATTTCTTTCTTTTACTGTGTGTGGTAGCATCTCTCCTGATGATCCTGTAAGATGAAATACATTTTATTCAATCAAGGTGAACTGGGGACACGACATTTTGAGTGAAAGTGAATTTAAAGCCCTGTATAAAGCATTTAGTGGACTGATAACAGAGTGTGTTGTTGGTTTATTCTTACAAGCTCCAGTTAAATGTCCAGTTGTTTGTGGAATAAGCCGTTTTTGCTTCTCTGTGGTTTCATATTAGGTCGACTGGCACGATGTGTGCGCTGCCCTGTGGCTTATCACGCCAATGACAACTGCATGGCCGCAGGCAGCCTGGTGCTGGCTAACAACAGTTTTCTCTGTCCGAACCACTTCACTCCCCGCAAAGGCTGCAAGAACCACGAACACATCAACGTCAGCTGGTGCTTCGTCTGCTCTGAAGGCAAGTCTGATTTTGTTTGTTGACCTATGCATCCTGATCGTGGTGGCAGCTGATCGTGTACTATAATTACAGAGTGCCTGACATACAATACTCCGACTCACATACCAATGCTGACAATAACTCCTCAATTCATTTGTCATTGCTGCTCCCTTCAGCTCTATCAGACATTTTCTCAAAAACATTGACACACCTTTTCGTTATGTTACAAGTTGTTTCTTCTAATCAATGTTGTGAATACTGTTATTTTGTTGATGTGTTCAGTTACACATGGCATATTTTTTAGTCGTTTTTCCGAACTCTTGTTGAGGGTTAAGGACAGGACCTTGTCAAGCCCTATGAGACTAATTGTGATTTGTGAATATGGGCTATACAAATACATTTTGATTGACTGATTGATCCATTCAAATGTTGTGCTGGTGTAAAAACACATCAGATCATATAGAGATGAATCAGTAATTATCTCATGGAGTCACAAGCACAGTCAGTTTTTATCACAAGGATTTATCAGCCTCTAGATTGATCACAACACGGCTTCTCTCTACTGAGAACATTTGTCGAGTATTGATCCAGTCAATTTTAGTTTGAGGTTCAATCTGTAACCTTTTCTTGCTGGCTGCTAACAGTATCTTCAACAGATGCAACGTTAAATAAAATGATAAAAGATATCCTGGATTCACTTCAAAATATAATGGGTTCTTCCCTGACCCATGCCACATTCTTCCAGTTTCATGATAATCTGTTCAGTAGTTTTTGCGTAATCCTGCCAACAAACAATCTGAATTATTTATTCTTATATTAACCACATTATACACAGTTATAGGTGCCCACCTCCTAAATAGTCCCAATTCAGTTTTTTTTCACAAAAAATCCATGCATTATTTTCTGATTAACAAAAATGCTGAAAAACTTCCTCTGCCACTTCTGGATATTCACCCAAAGTAAGTGGATTGCTCCTTGGCCCAAGTCCCATCTTTCCACTTGGTTTCATGGAAAATCAGTTGTCATTCATTGTATCTTGCAAACAAGCAAACCAACCAACAAGCAATCAGACAGCATTAAAAACAAACCCCCTTGGTGGATGTCCATTTCTATGCCAATATTTAAAACTCCCATCATTCCTTGCTACTTAAAATCAGAGTCAAATATCTCGCTCGCTTTTACCACGAGGTGCAGACAGCAATCATATATCTTACTGTGAGGTTTCCAAGTGTCCCCATTTGCTTTATAGTCTGGTTACAACGTGTCTGTCATCTGCGTTGTGCTGTTTTATAGTCATATTGTGTTAAGCTCAGTAATCATCTACCCACATGCTCTTTAGACAGGTGCTGTGTCTCAAATTAAGATATTTGCCTCTTGCCCCCTTGTGAATGTTGAAATCCACTTATCCCACTCATCACATCAAAACACTTTTACTACTTTAATCTTATATTTATTTTTAATATGAGTTCAAGTGAAACTGTTAAATGACTCGGATCACATCGCTGCACATGTCTCTCTGGAGCTCTGTGCATGATAAGTTGTAAAATCCTTTTTATGCCACATCCTATTTTCCACTTTATTGCTCCTACTTGGCAAATTAATTTTGCAAAAACAGATTTTTTCTCCAAACAAAGTAGCCCAGTAACCTTCACGATATGATTTTACATTGATGCAGTTAACACCTGGTCTGTATGATCTGATCCCAAGTGGTTGAGATCCGATCACTCAGACCTAAAGATGTGTGCTGATTTGCATATACAGCGGAGAAATGAGATCCACTCAGTGATCTTAGGAGACGTTAGGGATGCATTTTAATACCAGGTCTGAACAGCACATGTCTTAGTTACCATCTTTACTAACACTAAACTGACACCGTCATTGTCTACTTTGTGTCAGTTATTGTATTGAAATGATTAGTCAACAAAAGATTTTTTTTAAATGTCATTTAACTAAATCAAAAATAAGTATGTTGTGTGTTTGCTCTGATTTCGTAGGGGGCAGTCTGCTGTGCTGTGAAGCCTGTCCTGCTGCTTTCCATAGGGAGTGTCTGAATATGGAGATGCCCCAGGGCAGCTGGTTCTGCAATGACTGCAAATCTGGAAAGAAGCCTCGTATTAAAGACATACTGTGGGTCAAATGGGGACGTTACAGGTAAGGGTACATAAGTTGCCTTCCTGTGCCTCTGAGCAAACAGCAGATTCACCCCCTATTTTTACTCATGTAACCTGACCTAACTCTTTAGGTGGTGGCCTGCAGAAGTCTGTATGGCAAAAGATGTTCCAAATAACATCTTGAGGATGAAACATGAGGTGGGAGAGTTCCCAGTGCAATTCTTTGGCTCCAAAGATTTTGTGTGGACATACCAGGCCAGAGTCTTCCCTTACATGGAGGGTGACACTCACAACATTGAGAAAATGGGGAAGGGAGCAGATGCAGTCTACAAAAATGGTAGGTTCATATGAAAATACTCTTATGCATCTTTTTTCGAGTACCTTTAATAGTCTGAGTAAAGATCGTGTCTGTGTTTTTAGCCCTGACAGATGCAGCAGAGAGGTTCAGAGCGCTCCAGGCAGAAAAGGAAATGCGGCAGCTTCAGGAGGACAGAAAGAATGACAAGAAACCTCCTCCATACAGACACATTAGGGTACTGTGCATCACCAAATATACATCTGTGCTTATCTAGACTGACCTGAGATGAGTTCACAGAGAAGTTCAAATCATGCTCCTGTCTCTTAGGTAAACCGGCCAATCGGGAAGGTGCAGATCATCACGGCTGACCTATCAGAGATCCCACGTTGCAACTGTAAGGCCTCCGACGAGAACCCCTGCGGCATCGACTCGGAGTGCATCAACCGCATGCTGATGTACGAGTGCCATCCTCAGGTGTGTGCGGCGGGGGAGCGATGTCAGAACCAGACCTTCACAAAGCGCCAGTACACAACCGTGGAGATTTTCAGGACGCTGTCCCGTGGCTGGGGTTTACGCGGTGTGTCAGACATCAAGAAGGTACGTTGGAAAATTATCGGACGCAAGATTTTGAATTGAAAGCATGAGCCAAAATCAAATTATTCGCCTGCGTCATCATAACAGTCTTATTTATCTTTTTTCTTTTTTTTTTTTTTTTTATCTCTGGTGCTTCTCAGGGAGCGTTTGTGAGTGAATATGTGGGAGAGGTGATAGATGAAGAAGAATGTCGAGCCAGGATCAGACACGCTCAGGAGAATGACATCTGTAACTTCTACATGCTTACACTGGACAAGGTGCTGACACATCTACATCTTTTTTATCTATTTCTACAATGTATGTAATTTCACTCACTTGCCTGCAATCTCCTAATGTCTATTTGTATCATATCTATCTATTTTTTCAGCATGTCCATTTCTATGTATATTTTCTCTATGTATACAAATATTTACTCACTGGTTGGGAAAACTTGCTAATATACATTTTCTTTTACAGGACCGGATCATTGATGCCGGGCCCAAAGGGAACCAGGCTCGCTTCATGAACCACAGTTGCCAACCAAACTGTGAGACCCAAAAGTGGACTGTGAACGGGGACACCAGGGTGGGGCTGTTTGCTCTACAGGACATCCCACAAGGTTAGAGTTTGTGTAGGATCAAGAACTCAGGTTATTGCATTGATGTATCGCATCTGCAGCACAGAACTAAAGCAGCGTTTATTTCAGGTGTGGAGCTGACGTTCAACTACAACCTGGAGTGTCTTGGCAATGGGAAAACTGCCTGTAAATGTGGAGCACCCAACTGCAGCGGTTTCCTTGGTGTCAGACCAAAGGTAAAAGAGGATATTTGAACAGATTTAGTGCTTAATGGTCGCACTTACACCCTCCACATGATCCAGACGATTGTAAAACTTGTAAAACCTCCCGTTCATTGTTTTTGTTCAGAACCAGCCGCCAGCAGAGAAGGTGAAGGAGGGACGAAGAAGGGGCATGAAAAAGAAGACCAAGCAGGAAGTGACCAAGGAAAGAGAAGATGAGTGCTTCAGCTGTGGCGACGGGGGACAGATAGTGTCCTGTAAGAAGCCTGGCTGCCCTAAGGTCTATCATGCTGACTGTCTCAACTTGGCCAAGAGGCCTGCAGGCAAGTATTTTACTGACAACTCGTATGATACTGCTAATGTAGCACTATTAAGTCTAAATTGGTTTGTAGCCTGACTCGAATTTTAAATATCCTCAGGCATTGTGTGGTTTTGAGGAAAGAACACTAGGCAGTGATTCATTTCAAACAATTAAAACACAGCAGACCAACAGTTCTCCACACATGGAAAACCTCTTTTCAAATTGCTGTGTATTACATGAAAAATAGTAAAATATGAAAAGTGTCTCTTAGTTTGTTTGTAATAAGGATTTATGAATACTTGATATTTGAGGTCATAAAATGATCATGAATGTACTATGAACGCGTGAATTATATTAGAATGAATTTGGATGAAAGTGAAGTAAAAATCTAAATATTTATCATCTTGTATTTGGGATAAAAGATTATGGAACAACCAGATTTATCTTTTAAGACAGAGTCTGAACATTTGCTGCCAGCATCTATTTCTGGAGATGAGTGTTTTCAAACTTGCAGCCAGTTGAATTGCTGCTGTCTTGGAATTTTCAGTCATATCAGCAGATTTTGACCAAACCTCTATGAGCTTTGTAAGATTGTAATCATTGTTGTTCACTGATCTTATCTCCAGGGCGGTGGGAGTGTCCATGGCACCAGTGTGACATCTGTGGAAAAGAGGCAGCTTCGTTCTGTGAGATGTGTCCCAGCTCTTACTGTAAGGAGCACCGTGAAGGCATGCTCTTCATTTCCAAGCTGGACGGCAAGTTGTCCTGCAGCGAGCATGACCCCTGTGGTCCCGACCCACTAGAGCCAGGGGAGATTCGTGAATACGTGCCCAACACGACCTCTGTGAGGCCCGGGGCCATGGCGGTGCCTGTCACTCCCTCTCTGGCCCCAGACTCCAGACGAGCCAGTTTTTCTTCTTCTGCTGCCACTCCTGTCTCTTCCCCTACTAGCCAGGCTGCACTGGGCAGGCAGGAGCCTCCTCCTCGTCTCTACATCAACACAAAGACTGCTACCTCCAGCTTCATCCCTTCCAACAGGGTGTACCTGACAGACAGGACTGAAGGGAAAGCGTCACCTTCCTCCTCCAAGGGGGAGAGAGAGGACGGTGAGGTGGAGGACGGGGAGGTGTGTGGGTTAGAGGTGGAAGACGTGGATGATGATGATGATGATGATGATGATGGTGTTGATGATGATGACGATGACGATGATGAGGAGGCAGAAGAGGAGGAGGACGAAATGGAGGAGATGGAGATAGTGGAAGATGAGGAGGAGGACGAACCACTGTATGGAAGTGACCGGCTGGAAGAAGGCGAGGAGGAGAGGGAGGAGGAGGATGATGATGAAGGAGGGGACGTGTTTGACACTTGGGGGGGTTATGTGGATGAAGATGATGATGGAGAGGTGGAGGGGGAGGACTTTGAAGAGTGGGGGAGAGTGGAGGACGATGATAAATGACACAGTCCATCCATTCCTTTTTAATTACTTGTAAAAAAACTCTCAGTAAACATTTCAAGGACAAAGAGTTTGATATTTTGGTACCTACTTGAACGCAACACTGCCTTCACTCTGGTACAACCATGCCTTCTCATCCACCGCTGGACTCTCGTGTGGATGTGTACTGGTGCTGAGGCTCGAGGACTGATCCTGGTCTCTTTATACTTCTGTTGATATGTTTATTTGTGTCTGGTGCTGTTATGATCTTTTATTCTATTGTTTACATTTTTTGCCTTTTTTAAAAAAATGTTTGAAATGTAAGAAAAAAGGTGAGAAGTTTTCACCTGACCAAACTGTCACCGTAAGGGCATCTCATGTTGTTGTTACTGTCTTCACCATGTCTCTCTAATTACAAGTGATAAAAGAAATGGAGTTCTCACTGGTTCATGTTACGGTTAAACATGACGATGGCTGTTTGCTGTGTCTGAGGAATACAGAAATAAACCCACTGGAGTCATCGCAACTGAAATGATTATTGTCAAGATGATAATCTTTTCTTCTGTTTTCTTTTAATTGATTAACAGATTCTATGAATTCATCCTTGTTTCTCTCCACACAGGCAGCTCAGGATCGCAGAGAAATGAAATGATGCCACAAAATGGCAAAACCCTAAATATGCATCACTAACATTGGTTTCACACCCATCACTGCTGTTCCATTCTCCTAATTAGAATAAAATCAAAGTACTTATTCACTCTGTATCCAGTATTTTCTTCTCTTTACAGTCACACATGGCAGAAGATATCTTGGAGTCAATGTATCATAAACTAATTACTGTCATATTTTAGTGTTCATACTGTGAATAGGTAAACAAGCTGTATCAGTACTCAGGATGTAGTGAGTATAAAGGTTACTTGGTTAATTATTGATTTTTGATTTTCTTTCCTTTCTTTCCCTGTCAAATATCAGAAGGGTTGAGTTTTTATGGCTGGGAACCACCTGAGACTTGAAGGTTTTTAACTTCTTTACTCTGTATTTTCTGCTGATCTCACACAGTGTTTGATTATAAACCATGAAATCACACACATTAAACAAGACAATTACCAGATCTGGATGAAGGAAATAGAAATGAACCCTTTTGATAGACTGGTGCTTTATGTGAACTAGATTGTATATTTATCAGTCCTTTTACATGATGCACATTATACAACTTGATGAAGTCTGTAAAACATGATTAAAGCGAGCTGTAGTCTGTCACACAAAAGAAAAAGGATCAGGCTATGTTTTGATACAGGCACACTCTTCTAGACAGGGCCTGGAGGACAGCGAAAAAACATGCACACATTCTTGTACTTTTATTTTAGTGAGCACACTCATTAGTACAATGCATTCCCTCACTCCTTCCCTGAGCCATTTTATTTTATATACCTAGTCTTAGTACTAACCAGAAACCATGGCCAAAACGTCTTCACACAATAAAGTATCCGGCCCTCACCAAGATGTAAGTACACAAACACACACAGTGCCACACTATCTATTGATATATCAGAATCAGAAATACTTCATTGATCCCAGGGGGAAATTGTGTTTGTTACAACTGCTTCAGGTAAAGGTAGAAATATAGGCATAAAAGATTAAAAATATGAATGGTGGGAACACCTGCGTCCTCTAGATGTCGCTGTGTCCTACAGTCCTAATTGCGACACCGCAGAGGAAGAAAAGACGTGACGTAGCTGTAGTCGAGTGTAAAATGGCGACGGAGATGCGTTAGTCAAAACACAAGCGACGAGATTGAAAAGCTACGGAGGAAAGCTTCACCTTTACAAGGGGAAAATCAACGTTTGATATATTCATATCTGTGGTGGATCGTACTAAGGTAACAAGCTGTTAAATACTTCAATATATAACGAGTCAACAGCTAGGTTAGCTTAATGGTAACCGCTAGGTCAGTTTTAGCTTCTATGTATGTGAACAAAATGCACACGATGCTGAGTGAACATGAGTTAAAGGACAGGAGAGTGACTATTCCCCAGACAGATCATGTTTCTGACGAGCACTTCTCAGTGTTGATCATGTGACTCTGTGTGTACTCGTGGTGGCAGGTTCAGTCATGACCGAGCAGCCCAGCACCACCCCGGAGGGCATCGTGGGCCTGGATGAGCCCAAGAAGATGACCAGGGAGGACTGGAGGAAGAAGAAGGAGCTGGAGGAGCAGAGGAAGCTGGGAAACGCTCCAGCTGAGGTGGACGAGGAGGGCAAGTAAGTGTGTGTCTGGACAGAAAGTGAGAGGAGAAATGGATGAGTTCCTACATGCGTCGGATCTGGACATTCAAATATTCTCACGTGCCAAGCACCCTTTAACACCAGAACCTACACTTACCCCGAGGAAACACGACTGCATCTTTCGTTAGACCCCCCCCCTATCTGTATGAGTTTTGATGGAGCAGCTATGAAGGTAAAAAGCATTCACGTCAGCACCCAGGTTGTACTTGAATATATCGGTGTTAGCTCTTATTATTTGCTGCAGTCCATAAAACAGCATTGAACTCCAGCCAGGTTCATCACTTTTTTAGTTTAATTGTGCAGTGACTTTTCGCAGCGCATGTGTCGTCAACTTTTTGTCTTAATATGCATGTGTGGGTGTAAGACCACAGACTTTAAACACTCCTGCTGTTTCACTAGGACGTTCGTGTTCACACACTTTCATACAATATTTACTGTGAAGCTGCTGTTCAGTCATGTGGAACGCTTGTGCTGCTTTGTCTCTCCAGGGACATTAACCCTCACATCCCACAGTACATTTCATCAGTGCCATGGTACATCGACCCGTCTAAAAGGCCCACTTTAAAGCATCAGAGACCACAGGCTGAAGAAGAGGCGCAATACTCAAACATTGGAGAGTGGTATAAGAGAGGAGTGCAGGAGGTGAGAATGAATAAACATGAGTAGCTTTCATGTGGCTGCAACAATTTAACTGTAAAGTTAATAACTTCATTGTGTGTCTCCACACAGAATGCTTTGACCACTAAATTTCGTAAAGGAGCTTGTGAAAACTGTGGTGCCATGACGCATAAAAAGAAAGACTGCTTGGAGGTAAAGGAACCAAAGCAATTGTCATCTCTTTCTATCTTCCAGCACAGACTAACCTTCACTTGTTTTATTCAGCACAATTCTAGAATGTTGTATCTGCATACATAAACGATAACCTCTGACCTTAATTTTTGTGTCGTCAGCGTCCCAGAAAAGTTGGAGCGAGGTACACGGGCACAGGAATAGCTCCAGATGAACACTCTCAGGTCCTGCTTGATTTGGACTACGATGGGAAGAGGGATCGCTGGAACGGTTACGACCCCGAGGAACACCAGCGCATTGTGGAAGAGTACGCCAAAGTAGACCTGGTGAGTAGACCAGTGGTTAATTCAATCTGGTTTAACTGTAGAGCATTTGTTTCTTCGATTTGTTGAGAACACCGTAGATCTCTGCCAACTTTCAAGCATGCTCTTGTGTTGAAACATTCAAATTAGAGACAAGGCAACTTTTAAACTAAACATTTTATTGATGTATATGTCAATAAAATTGATATCTGACAAACACAAATCCAACGTTTACAGTGGGCAAACTCAAGTCAGAACCGAGGCTCAGTTACAGGCACTGTGACATATATCAGGTGTGACGGCACAATGGGGTTCAAAACATTATATTTTGGTGCTGTTGTTTATTTTTCAACTACTAGATGATACTGAGTTTGTATTTGTCTTTGTCTTTCAGGCCAAAAGGACTCTGAAGGCACAGAAACTTCAGGATGAGTTGGCGTCTGGAAAACTGGACCAAACTGTAAGTTTTTTCAAGATTGTAGTTGGACCGGATTATATTGACGAGAGTTAAATGCAATCTCTTGCCTGGGAAACTAACAATTTTAATCCCTTTTCTGCAGGAGTGGGAACATGACAGCGAGGATGAGGATGAAGATAAATATGCAGATGACATTGACATGCCTGGTCAGAACTTTGACTCCAAAAGAAGAATTACTGTCAGGAATCTGCGTATCAGAGAAGACACAGCTAAAGTAAGAGTCACATGATTGCTGAACTAGTATTTCACTTTCATACAGGAGTCCTTCGGTCGCTTGTAATGTCCACATTTAAAGATGTCGATTTAAGTGAGTGTCAAGGGAACGTTATTCGTTAATAATCTGAACTCATGTCTATCTCTCACAGTACCTGAGGAATCTGGATCCAAACTCAGCCTACTATGATCCCAAGACTCGAGCTATGAGAGAGAACCCGTACTCCAACACTGGCATGAACCCTGATGAGTAAGTTACTGACACAATGTTTCCTGATCACTCACCTCTCATTGGCTCACATTGTAAACCTTTCCTGCTGTGTCTGACAGAGTGGGGTATGCTGGAGACAACTTTGCTCGCTACAGTGGGGACACAATCACCATGGCTCAAACGCAATGTAGGTCACTGAGACACTTAGCAGCCACTTCAACTCCTCTCCATCTATACTCTCTTCAACACTGACATTACAAGAAGAATGCCAAGTATGTAATTTAGACCCCTGACTGATTTTTTGGGGCCGACGCTGATAATAGGGAGTAAAAAAAATCTAATTCGATATGTTGGCTGAAATATATATATATTTTAAAAATTAGCAGTGAAATATTGGTTATCAATCCTTTGTGACAAATGAATGTAATTGAGGATTGATATTTTACGTGTAGAGATGCAACATGTACCCATAGTGATTGTCAATGCCTCATCTTGTGACAGTGTTTGCCTGGGAGGCCTACGAGAGAGGATCGGAGGTTCATCTGCAGGCCGACCCCACCAAGCTGGAGCTTCTCCACTTGTCCTTCAAAGACAAAAAAGAGGACTTTAAGGAGCAACAGCGGGAGAGCATCTTGGAGAAGGTGAATACCTGATATCAACTTCTGTTTTAAACCACCGGGCTGGTAAATAAAGGCCCGCACACTTTGTGAGAAAGAAATCTCACATGTTCATGTTGTTGGATAAGGGTCTAATACGAAATCTGGGTTTCATTATGTACCACAAATTTTAATGTCAAACTTGCATATCAGACAATTATGGAAGCAGACATCTCATAATCTCACATGTGTTTTATGTTTTGAAATGCACAGACACTTCACATCGTATTAATTTTTTTGAATACTTTTTTCATTTAAAATGGGCCTCACTATAGCAAATGTTCATATGTGCTTGTCTGTAATCTTATCAAATGAATCTGCCCTCCAGAAATAAACAAAGGAAAATAATTAACACTTGTAGTCTGCAAAAATAGATTTGTAAATTATTCTTTTAAATATAAAAAGCAAATTTCATATTTTATATTGTTCCACAATTTCACCTCAGTTGCAGATTTATCTGATTTGAGTCCCTTTCTTTGGTCTGTTGTACCGTAAACTCACAAACACCTCTCAAACCAGATTTTTGCTAACAAGCATTTATAAACGAAATGCCTGTGAAAGTTTGGGTCCATTTATCTGATGTGATGTAGGACTACTGTTGAAGGCTAACCTCTAAACATTTCAGTACATTTCTTTAAGCCCTAATGGTGTATGATGACTTAATTGTGTTTGTGCTTTTGTGTGTGACGATCAGTATGGAGGTCAAGAACACTTGAACGCTCCACCACGGGAGCTGCTTCTGGCCCAGACAGAGGACTATGTAGAGTACTCTCGTCACGGCGCTGTACTGAAAGGACTAGAGAAGGCTGTCGTCCGCTCCAAGTACGAGGAGGACGTGCTTATCAACAACCACACGGTGAGAGCGACAGGATGGACTAAGGCTTTTGCTAATTTTGCCTTCATTGTATTCACCATGTATTCTGAAGAAGCTCTTGTGTTTGTTTAGTGTATTTGGGGCTCTTACTGGAAGGACGGCTACTGGGGCTACAAGTGTTGTCACTCCATGGTCAAACAAAGTTACTGCACAGGAGAGACTGGAATTACTGTAGTAAGTAATATTTTTTCACACTCACTTTATCTGTAACATTTTTTTAAAGATCATTTTGTAACCTAAACTGGTTTTCTTAAAAAACTACAGAACAGCACAGACTGTGTTCCATTTGAAGAGGGTCTGACTGAACCACAGGAGGAAGAAGAGCCCAAGACTCTGCTGGAGGTAAGTGATGCCGTAAACTTAGATCTCCTTATATGTAGGAGTGTAATGGTACATTAGAAACAAGGAACAGAAAACTCAGGTTTTATTGGTTTTTATCCAACTCTGGCTGTGTCATTTTTACCAAAAGTAAAAAAACTAAATAAGCACTCTCATAAATAAATATAAATAGTAAAATAAATATCCATTAAGCTGCAGCATGTAGTAAATTAACTACCTAAACTGCACCGTTATTGTAATGTATAATTATTATCATAATTAAATACATGTATTTTCACCAGATGCATCGTGATAAGATGATGAAAGAGAAAAAGAAGAAAAAGAAGAGCAAAAAGAACAAGAAGCGCAGCTCTGACAGCAGCGATTCAGAGGACGAAGAGAAGAAGAAGGAGAAGTTGAAGAAGGTAAAAATACACAAGTCTGTGTTCATCTGTGTGTGTGTCTCTTTTGGCTCTTTCCTGCGACTGACCTCCAACATCTTTCTCTGTGTTAGGCCCTCGAAGCAGAGGACAAGCATAGAAAGCACATAGATGCAATTATGCAGATCGATGAGAGGAAGAGGCCGTACACCAGCCTGCAGGAAGTGAAGGCGCCCACCGAGGAGGAGCTGGAGGCCTTCCGCATGAAGCGCTGCCGGCCAGATGATCCCATGGCATCCTTCCTTGGACATTAAACGCCTCCTTTCCGGGTGACTCTCCTAGACTCTCCCCATGGACTCTACCAGAGCAGTTGCTCGGTGAAATGAAAGTCTCGGATTCGTTAAACCTTTAACTTGTAACTTTAAGCAGGAGACTTCTCTCTGGGTGTAAATGCTACAGAAATTGTGTAAAAGTGTTTTGCTATTTCATTTTTGTATTTGAAGGCACTGGGGGTCAGAGGACAGTGTACAGAGGACAGTAAATATGTGTACTTTTCTTTGTACTTATTCAGTTCAATGGAAAACAAATGTAACAACTTTTAAACACATTTCAGTCTAAAACAAAGCAGAGCCACCCTCACGCTAATTTCAGGAATTACTTTAACTGGGATTAATGCATTTTTATAAATAAAATATATTTGACTACATTGTGTCATGAAAGAAGTCATTGTTTTCAAGGGACAATGTACACTTATCAACACCACTGAAAATGTGCTCATTTTGAATATTCTTTCCAGGCCTTTGGAGATCACTGATCTTTAATATTTAAACATATTTTCTGCTATCGTTTCTTTAATATATTTCCAAATGTTCCTTCTATGAAACTTAAAGATAAATATTCTGTATTTTCAAGACATATATGAAGCGCTGGGAATAGTTTTTGTGTTGGTTTGCCAGTATCGTCTCATAGAAACCTGCAACACGAGAAGCGCTGATGTAATTTCCGCTCACGTGAACTCGGCACTGCCTCACCCAACAGCTGGAACATTTTTATGTCTCTTTTCTTGGCTCTGCATCCCTGAGATAAACACAAACACATTTCATACACTCCTGCAGACCATCGTGCTGTCCTTTGCACTTGTAAGTTTAACGAGTAATGTTTCATAATGTCTGATATGTACCATTTATTTTTCTCAAGTATGAGTTTGATGCTTCAGCTGTGCAATACAGTTGCACTGACATGAATACAATGACATCATGGTGAAAACATTTTCTGGCAGTGTACTTGCTTAAACAGGGCGGATGTTGTGGACTGTGGCTGCACGTTACTCTGCAGTGCTTCTCTCAGATACTTATCTCAAGCCGATACTGGAAGGTCATGTAGGAACGCCTGTGTTCTCACATACAGAGAAAGGACTTTGATGGTGATTGGCTCATAATTTCTAAACTGGTGAGTTATTTATCTGTGTTTTTTTGTCTGGTGCGATCCCTGCGTTATAACATGCTGCATTCTTTGCCTTTTTGAATCCTGCGTGATGGAACATATCATTTTGCTCTGTGAGCATGCAGTCATTGCATGAAAAAACTTATTAAACTTAATTAAGATAACTGTTAGGACACTGGATTACAGCTGTGGATACTGTGTATGTGGGTTTTTGATTCACACTTGCATTATGTGATTGTGACTGGCACACGACACCCAAACCAAATCTCTTGTTATAAACGATGACTTTCCCTGTTCCTGTCGTGACTCCACAGTGACCAACATGCTCCAGATGTGTGTGTTCCTCTGTTTGCTGTCAGTTGTCGTCCCCCAGTCAACAAATTCCTCATCCAAGAAAGGTCGCAACATCACAATCCACTCCTCCCAGCTGGTTTGCAGTCTGCCAGGTCCAGTGGGGCCTGCGGGGAACCCAGGAGCCCATGGATCACCAGGGGCCATGGGTCCCATGGGGCCGCCTGGGAAGGATGGGCCTGATGGGAAGGATGGAGAAAAGGCAGAAAAGGGAGCTAGAGGTAGTGATCCACTCATTTTTTTTATCGTAGTGTTTGAATCAGTTCTTTCATTTTCTTTAATCAAGAAGAATATCTGTTCTCTGGGATGCACCCCATTAGAGCCCAATCTCCAACATCCACAATGTGAGATGTGGTTCTTTGTGTGAAAAACTGACCAAAACTAACAGAAAGAAAAAACTATTCATAACATTCATTTTGTAGTTATTTAACATATTACATTTTCTTTCCAAAAATATAAAATCATGATTTTACACTGGCAGTCAGGTCCACTTTAATGATAGGAAGCAACATGTTCTTATCATGCTACACAGTTTGACTGATGACTGATGATTCTTTGAATTTTTATATCAGAATCAGAACCAGAAGTACTTTATTAATCTCCGTAGGGAAATTCATATTGAATATTTGTGGTGAGTAAAATGTGCGAATAACATTTATTTGTCATAATTTTGTCATGATTGTCAGGGGATCCAGGAAGGACTGGGAACCCAGGGAAACCTGGTTTAAAAGGCCGGGAAGGTTTTATCGGCAAGGCTGGACCCCGTGGTCTGAAGGGGCTTCGTGGAACACCAGGGCTGGCTGGAAAACGGGGACCAAAGGGAGAGCTGGGTGACGTGGGCCAGGAAGGGGCCCCTGGAGGCTGCAACTGTGATAGAGCGGCCCGTTCAGCCTTCTCCGTGGCCATGACAAAGAGCTACCCCAAAGAGCGATTGCCCATCCGCTTCAGCCGGATCCTGCTGAACGAAGGAAATCACTACAATGTCAGCAGTGGGAAATTTGTCTGCATTATCCCTGGAGTCTATTATTTCACTTATGATATCACTTTGGCAAGTAAACACCTGGCCATCGGGCTGGTGCACAATGGACAATACAAGATCAAGACTTTTGATGCAAACACAGGAAACCACGATGTGGCATCTGGCTCTACGGTTCTCCACCTGCTGCAGGGAGACCAGGTCTGGCTGCAGATCTTCTACTCAGAACAGAACGGACTCTTCTTTGACCCTTTCTGGACAGATAGCACCTTCACTGGCTTTCTAATCTATGCGGACCAGGACTTTCTCAATAAAGCTGACAGCAAAGCAAATGCTAAGGATGACAGTTAACCCTGTAAACCTGAAAAATCTTTACTTTTATTTCATAATGGACTGTTTTTATTGACTTTATTTCTATTTTGGAAAATAGGTCCCCTGCTGAAGGTCTCAGTGAAGTGTTGAAGTTTTGTTCTGACACTAGGGGGCACACGAGGACAGAGGAAACGCAACTACGTTTGGGAAACCACTAAGCAATGACGTATCACTCGTGAAATCACAATTCTGACAAAAGATCTTTTCACAAATTAATCCAAGAAGTAACTTGATTATTAAAAAATGCTTTTTTCATTAGATTAATGCAGTTTACAGGAGCTGTGAAACTGCCAAGAGTTTTAATGGTGGCACAGAACAGAAAGTCTGTGGTGCAGCCATGTTTTAAATCACAAGAATAAAACTAAAATCAGTTAAATGTTTATATCCTGGTCTCGGGGGAAACCTGAGCATAACTGAAAGATGGCTTCTCCTGTTCCCCAATGCCAAGGATTTCCAGTCCAACGACAGTTTGCAGTCCAACAAAATGAATTTATTCATTATTTGGATACTTGGATACTTACGATTCTGTGTCACATTTGTGGAAGCAGGAGGGTTGTGACAAAATCATTCTCCTACTTTACAATATTCCACTCAGATAAGAATCAATCATTGCATGACATGAGAAATGGTAAATATATCGTTTTGGTCTTATTTTATTCTGTTTGTAGTTGTTACCTTCCTTTCTGCATTTTATTCCCTTTCATTTCATAGCCAGTCTAGTAAAAAGAGTGTGGTCGGGTTGAGGTCCATTTAGTTGATGATCCCTAGCATTAATCAATCAATCTGTCAAATGTTTCCCACAGGTGCTTGGTATTGTATGGTAAAAACTATTGATAGTTTAGGTCCCAAGTAAAAAACTAAATGAAAACAGGATAAAAACCTACAACAGTAATAGTAAAAATGAAAACAAAATTTACACAATACCGTCAAAGCTGTTATTTAAATGTACATGATTTGTCTGGAATGTAAAGCCTGCAACAAGTAAATAATTTGACTTGTTAAAAACAATGAATGGTTGAATTTTCTTGTTGAACTAAACTTAATCTAAATTCTTTACTCATCTAACAACTGAACACACACATTTTAACAATGGAAATCAAATACAGCTCAGAAAGTTGGTCCCAACTCCACGATTATGTTCACTTCCATCACTGCTGGAAAGCTAATTAACCAATGGCCTGATCCCCCCAAAAGGCATATTGTCTCTAGAGGCCTATAGCTGCAATGCTGGAAAAAGAAAAATATTCAATATCACATTATAATGTAAAATAAATCATGTTATAATGTGATAACTTATTGTTTCAAAATTAACACTAATCACAATTTCACATAAAATGTTTAATGTTTTAACAGTTAATGCATTTTATTGTAAAAAGTTATAAGTTATATGTTTTTGCATGAAAACATTTGTGTTTCAACAATAAGTCATTTTATTACATTTTACGTGAACCTGTTTCTGTTTTTATACTAAGTTATAACATCTTAATGTGAAAGGTTTCATGTTTTAACAATAAGTTATCAAATTATAACATGAAGAGTTTTTTGTTTGAAAGTGAAAATGTTTTTACGAGATACCATGTTGAAATGATTTAATCAGGTTATCACAATATAATGTGAAACGTTTTATATTCTTATAATAAGTCATCGTATGTTAATATGACACTGATCCGTTGTTTCCTTATTCTCAAGTGGCAGCAATAGGCTTCAGTAATTTCCTATGATGCATGTTATATTATTATATTTCTTGCGACCTACACTCTATTGTTTTTAAACGTGTGTAGTTTAGTATTGTACCATTCAATTCACTCACTGAAGCAGCGTGTGGGTGTTTGTAGTTCGTCGCTGACCTGTAAAGGACTACAACTCCCAGGCTGGAGGAGGGACCTTCACGTCGAGGCGCAGGAGCCTGGTCTCTCCGCAGCAGCAGCAGCAGCAGCTGGTGCAGCCGAGGAGGCGACTGTGTTACCGCGGAGCCAGCGGAGAGGAAGCGGCGGAGCGCGAGCTCTCGGGGAAAAAAGTGTCAACAGTTTGGGGGAGACGGCTCGACCCGACGCTCGTCGCCGGGACTCTGTGGTGGCAGCGGCTCGGCGAACTTGCCAGCGGGTTTTAAGTTTGCATTTAAAACCGGGAGGTTCGTCTCAAAGTTGAGCCGAGGTGGAGTTCGCTCATTCAGGATGTCGGACTGAGACAAAGGGTCTGGGGGGACATTCCCGTCGGAGCGGTGAGCGGCACATGTGTGGACCGCGGCGGTGCAAAGTTGAGCAGGTTCGCTGAGCTGTAGCGGGGATGAGCTGAGTGTTTGTGGGGAGGTTGTGAGGTTTTATGTCGGTGTGTGTTTTTGTTCTGAAGCGAGGCGACTCTCTGTGTTTGTGTGTGTGTGTGTGAGGACAGTTAAGTTGTGTAGCCTCACTGTTTGTCTCGTGCTGCAGGCGCCTTGTGAATGATAACCTTCATGGGATTGGGTTGGGTTTGTTAGTAAATGTGAACAATCGTGTGAAAGTGGCTTCAGAGAGAAGCTGCATTGATTCATCGGAGCAGTAGCGTGGTCCAGCGAGTCATTCAACTGAGCCATTTAAATTCCCGAGCAGAGAAAATGGCCTATGCGGCCAAACAGACCTGTGTGAGATCAGCGACATGTTAGCAAACTTTGTCAAAACCTCTAGATTTCTTTCAAATGACCTGCTTCAAACTGCAGCCTTGCTCCAACCAACAAAACACACACAAGCATAGAGCTAATGAAATAAAATAAAAACATTTTTAATGAGCCATTTCATAAAAAAACTTTATTTCACTTTGGTTTTCTCTTCATTCTCTAACAATCCTCACATTTCTCTTCGTCACTGAGCTCAAGTGTCTGATCTGTGTCTTGTTTTGGACTCGTGTGTCTCAGCAGGTAACAAGTTGACTCTTGAACTCTCCTCTGGATGGGAAAGATGGAGAGGGAGCTGCAATGGTGGAAAGGACAGCTAGCTGCAGATATCCATCAGTCCCTCCGCATCAAGGTGAGGCTGGTGATTAAACTACAGTGGTTATCTCTATATCACTTTCAACAACTGCAGTATAACAATAGTTCAATATATGTTGATGTATTTCTCATGTGTTATGCTCAATGAGGAACACTTTATTGATCTACAGTTTTTAAATTCATTCTCTGCCTGTAAGGACCATAGGAGCTAAAATACGCCTTTAAACTTAAAAAAATAATAATGTGACATTTATCACGATAATTATCCAAATCGATTGATATGAACATTTGTATCTTTATCATTGTTGGCCATGTTGTCCAGCCCTAGTGTTGAGCACTGCTCCATTTGACTGTGGAGACTGTTGTTATGTGTTCACAATTTTAACATGTTTTCATGTCCGTGTGTGAGACAAAAACGGAGTCACATGAAATAAAAAGCCGTTGATTTACAGTATGTCAATCTTTACCCAACACCAACATAATAATCATTGTTTTGCTGCTGTATCGTATATTATTGTGGACCCAAACTAGACCGAGCTAAATGGTGAGTGGATTAATCACTTAATTATAGCTTCAGTCCTCCCTGACCCCCACAGCATCCTTCGGCCTAGTTTTCTGGTAATTCATCCAGTAATTTGTGTGTTAAATCGTCAACAACAAATAAACTGCAGTAATAAACTACATCTACACTGAGATTGTTGATTTCAAGTCAAAAGGAAAAAGGATTTATTACTATTACTATTTTAATTATTCTTATATTAAAATAAATCAAATTTCTTTGGGTTTTGGACGTTTGTTAAATTCATAATGGGCTCTGAGAAGATTGTGTTCATTTTAATTTATTTAATCCAGAAAATAATATGATGATTATAAAATTAATCGAATCGTAATCCTATTTTCAGATTTATTATTAATCTACCAACAGAAGTTGCGGATGGCTTTTCATGTTTTCTTACATTTTTATGATTAATCAAGAAAAATGAATAAGGCAATCAGGACAGGACATCTCTGTTCCACATATACCACACAGTGTATTAAAAGTTGGGAAGTAAAAATAATTACACGGGCCTGTTGTCTATTTAAACATGGTCTAAATTAGATTACATGGAGGAGTTAAGGCTCATTAATTGAGAATGTCTTAATTAACCTCCAAGCATGATCATATTTCTTCCTGTGTGTCCCCTTTTTAATGGAGACATCTGTCACTTGACTGGCATCTTCTAGCTGAGGCTCTGCTGCCAGCTCAGCACATGGGGAGCTGAATACAGATCAGGTTTGAGATGTCGGGCGCCTGAACGTGCGAGAGACGTTATGTGTATCTATGTGGAGAAAGAGGACCGTAGTGAATCAGATATTTGTGAGCTTCACAATGATTCATTCACTTAAACACAGTTTGTGCTCATGCTGGACAGTGTCTGACTCAGAGAGAGCTGTCAGTTAGAGTGAGGATCTGTACGCAGAGATTGAAACTAAACAACACACCCACTCTTTCCTCATATGCCGTAATGAAAGAGTGTGATAGCGTCAGTCTAATGTCAGGGTTTGATCTCTGTATATCAGCAGTTCCGTTTAAATCCTGAGCAACAGGCTCGCTGCAGTAAACGCTCTGTAATGAAATGTCCTCATGTGAATTCTGCGAAAGTTAGAAAAGAGAGAAATCCGATACATGTGTTGAAGTGAGAAATGCCAGAGACTAATTAGAGAGATAGATAAGATTTGTTGTTTTTATTTAGGAACTGGTAGAAGACACAACTGACTATACAACTACATTCAGTCTAACAGACCTTTTCAAGCGATTCCCTGTTTATAGATATCGTTTTAATTTAAGATGCAATATAAAGAAGGTAACTGAAGCTTTTTGACATTTTATAATTTTTTTTAATCATACCTCAGATACTTCTGCCACATGCTGACTTTTACGTCCTTATGGTGACAGCAGAGCATCTTGTTATTCCACTAAAGTCTGAAATATTTGGTTTCAAGGACTCATAATCTAGCACGGCCATGGATTTTTATTATGTGATGATAAAGTTAATTAATTGGTTTGTTGATTGGAAGAAAATTAGGACCATTAAGCAGGGCTCATTTCTTTAAGGTAATTCAAAATGATTTACATGAGATGAGAGAGGACAGTGAAAGTTATTGCAGGTCCAGTGCAGTTCATGATACGAGTAAACATTCCAAAATTGAATTTAACTCAACATTTTCTTTTCCTGTGAAATGTGAAAAATCTCTTTTCTCTTCATCTGGAATTTAAAAATGACTTTGGGTTCTGGTCTCTTGGTCACCTCGGCTTCTGTGGAATTGAGAAGTAGGGTGAAATGGGTTTCAGTGTTAACATTTCCTGCGTGGTGCCTGCTCCCCCACAGTCTCCTCTAGCCTTAATGACGTTTGCTGCAGTGATAATGCCCTGATGTGGGAGATAGTGGTGGTGTGTAGCATGTGGCAAATTATCAGACATGCAAATCAGGCGGAGGCAGCTGTGGAATCCTTAATTATGGTGCGGGTCCCCCACAAAGGCACCTCTCCACCCACCCACCCACCCCCTGGAGCCCCTCCAGACTTCGGCAGCAGCCCCCTCCTCCCGCTGCCCTTGTACCCCGAGACAGACAGATGGACCAGAGGCAGAATCTGAAGCAGTGGGAGGAGAGGAGAGTTTGGGGAGGACTGGGTGGTGTGGTTGGTTGTGGCACCGGGGGTGGAGCTGCTATATGTGGATTTGGGAGGGGGGGTATTGTTTATTTTTGGGATTCAATTGAAGTGTCAGTCTGAGCATCCTTGTTGTCTCAGTTGCGTTCAAAATAAATAGTGTTACCCTCACAGTGAATTTTATGTTACACAGAATACTAACTGTAGCATGTGTGTCTGTGAGGTTTCAGGCTTTAAACCAATATTGAGATTTTCAGAGGCTAAAGGCAGGGATGTTCCTAAACAACAGCCCTAACGCGATGTGTGTGTGTGTGTGTGTGTATCTGTATTACTCCACTGATATAAGGACCCCTCACTGTTTGATCTAAAGGAGATTAATCCTGCAATCCTCAATCTCGTATTAAATCCAAAAGCCCTTGTTTTTACTCAGATTCACAAAAACACATCATTTAAAAAAACATTTTTGAAAACAAAAACATTTTCTGGGTTTAGCGGCTTAAGATCTGAGGAAAGTTAGTGCAGAGTAAGTTCGGCGTACATTGTTTCACGCTCTGAGGCAGATTTTGAAACCGGAGCCATGTGCTCTCCTGTTCTCTGTAGCTGATTGGAGAGAGGCCGATTCAATGCTAATGCCCTCGAGTATCTTCCTTCCACTTTGAAACACATGCAGCTAATTGAACATGAATAGGAGATGTGCTAGGGGTGAAACCTAATCCTATCTACTACTCAACCTCCATACCCCCCCTCTAAAAACCACACACACACACACACCCCACCACCTCCCTCAGCCCATCGAGACCCCTGCAATGACCCAGATTAGCTCCAGTTCTATGCAGCGATGGTGAATAAAATGAGTTCTTTTTGTGTTAAATTTAGATTTATACCTCACATGAGTATTTCAGACCTCAGCACCTTCTCCTGAAAGCAGTTAAACACAGTCAGCAGGAGAGGTGCATTGCTTACTATTATTATGCATATTTTTTACAGCCCCTGTGTTTCTTCATCGCTGCTTCCTGCCCACCCAGCCCCCCCCCCCATTGCCGTCATTTACATCCCCTCTCATTCATCTTCTCTTCTCTCTCTCCAGGAGCTGAAGTTACCGGTGTACCGGGCTCACTCTCCGCAGATTGGCATGCGACGGTACTTCGCGGACTTGCTGGCCATCCTCAGTAATCGGTATCAGCTATGTCCTACAGCACGCCACCTGGCCGTCTACCTGCTGGACTTGTTCATGGACCACTATGATGTGGCCGTCAAGCAGCTCTATGTGATCGCCCTCTCCTGTTTGCTCCTAGCCAGTAAGTCCATAAACACCCTTCCAACTTCTTCCTTGAATCCATCTACGTTTCTGTTTTACACTTTTCTACAAACTCTTCATTTTCCTTTTTGTTCTGAGACGTGTTGAAAGTGTTGCTTTGGAAACTATAGTTCAGAGGTAGGTTATATCATAACCTGTAAATGTAGAAGAGCTGAAATATAAATACACTGAGCTAAAAAAGGAGCCGTGGCTGTGGTTCATACACATAATCCACAAGGCCCCTCACAAGGTTAATTTGAGTTACACGTTAGAGACCATGATGATTTTCTCTTCCGGCTACACTGCTAATGCTGCAACGTTAGTGTTAAAAAGACTCCTTGTTAGCAATGTGGTGGGATGAATATACCATTCGGGGAAGTCTGAAAATATTGATCGTTGGAAGAACTTGTTCAGTGAGATCTTTTCATAGGATTTGGTTTATGAAAATACTTAAAGAAAACACCAGCGTAATCATTTAAATGACTGTCCCTGCGAAAAGCATTTTACGGATATAAACCAGTCGAGTTGAAACATTGTATTTTAATATGCTTCTTTGTTTTTTAGCCAGTTTCGATTGGTTGTTGTTGTTCTGTACTCAAAGCTGTTTTTCCCAAGCTAACAGTGTTTCTGTATGAATTTCACACTGGTTTGCAGCGATGACTAGTAACTATGCTTCTCTGCTGCGAAACAGAAAAATGCTTTATTGCAAAAGCAGGTGTGTGAATCATTGTCTGGCTGATGCATGGTGCGGGTTGCGTGTTAGTTATTAGTGTCTCTGTGTCTGTCGCATGATTAACCGACAGAGGTTTTCTGTGCGTTAATGCAGCCCTTGGCATCATGGGTAATTAGACTAATGATAACGTCAAAGTGTTAGTCTGGAACAGGGTCTGCTCACTTGGGAGGGCTCAGCGTGTGCACGTGTAGACGCACACAGGCCATCTTTGCAATCAGAGTAGTCTCTGTGGTGCGATAGATTTGAATATGACACTTGAAAGAGGTTTTATTTAAAAGAAATCTCACGAGGATCCAAGAATAGCTTTTAGAGTTGACTCATGGAGTGATATAATTATTTTCAACCTAACCTGGACAGAGGTTCTTCTTTAACTCTCCTGTATTAATCCTGTTTTTTTGTTGAATCTTTTGATTGTGGCGTTCGGTTAGTTTGGCTCACTCCTCTTTGCTCTCCTGCCTCTGACTCCTCCAGGACTCTAGGGAGTCTCTGCCATGATTGATGAAGGCTTGAAAGGGTGTTTGATTCAAAGTTGTCTTGGGTTTTTATCTGTCCTGAGGTGCTTTGGAATCTGGCCTAGTTATTGAACGGCCTCCCCAGATTCCTCTGCCTTCCTTTGACAGGCACATACATTGTCTTTCTTCAAATATTTCTAGCTTCTGCACTCGGTTAATTAATCGCCACCTCTTTTGTGCCTCTCAGCAGTCACTGCTTAATCCTGTTACTCCATTGTGGCTGTGTGTTTTTGTGGATGCTTGTGTGTGCATGTGTTTGTTCGTGGATGAGCTCCTTTTCATTTGCAAGAGGAAGATTTTTGTCAGTTTTTCAAACCCACAGGGACCAAGTGTTATTGACTGTCAGGTACTTATTAAGAGACCTCACTTAATTCCAGAGAACCCAATTTTTTCAAGGAAAGCAAAATCCTGAAAAATGTAGTGTAAGCTTCTTAAACACTGCATATTACCATTTGAAATCACTCCACTAACTTAAGTTTCTATTGTGTTACATTCCATGAAGTCATGCAGTGATCACATCAGTCTTCCTGACAGATCTTGCTCCCTGAAGACAGACCTCTGCATATTGCAGCTATTTGTTATGGTAAATGACATTGTCGATGTGTCTCTGCTGCCTGCCAGCACAAGAGTGCTATGGATTTTTGTTGTTGTTGCAACACTTCCTAATGTATTTATGTATTTAGTGAGGTTTGGTCTATGGATCTCGATAATGAACGTTAGATGCTCTAGCAATCTAATTTGTCATGTCTCCACTGTTACTTATTATTCATGCTGGATTTCTTCTATTTTGTTCAGTGAACCTGATCCAACGAAGTGTCTCTAAAACAAAAAAGAGCATCCTGTGAAACGCACAAGAAGCTCAGTCACTAAACAGTACACTTACATAGGCCTCAGAGCCTGGGGGTAGGGGGGGGATTGTGTGCTGAGGGGCACCTGCCATATGCTCTCCGAGTCAGGCCTCAAACAAAAGCCTGTCAATGCAAGCAGGACAACCAGCCAGACGCTTCCCAGAGAGGGGGAGGGGAGCAGAAACTGAGGGCTGGAGGTTGAGTGTGCAGGCGTGTGTTTGTGTGTTCGTGGTAGAGACTTGCTGTAAGCTAGCATTGCTAAATTAGGAGATGGTTGCCGTGGCAACCTTGCGATAAACCTATGGATTTCTTTCCCTCCTGATCACCCTAATTAATATACACATTCAAGTCTAATCCATTTCCTATTTGAATGGACAATGTTTCACCACCGCACAGCCATTGAACCGACTGGGTTCTGGTGTTTCTGCGTTTAGCTGCTGGCTGTTTTTCCTCTTCGTTCTCTCACCTTGTCAGGGACAGGCGGAGAGAGCCAGTCCTGGGACAGGGCAGCCAGTAAAAGCAGCCCCACATCCCTGGGGGGTTGGGAAATGAGTGGAGCGGTACTTCAAAGCCAGGTCGGCTGCTGATGTTAAACAGGGTAGAAGGGGAGGGAGAAGAGGTGGCCTGCAAAATGGGACATATTAGAAGTGAACCACTCTGCAGGGTGCCCTGAAATGTAGATGAATAGGGAACCCACTCCCACTTTTATGCCCATCTCAGGTTTGACAGTAATTCTGATGGAACTGTTGTCATGTGCAGCCCTCAACATTAATGAAATTATGCAGAGATGGGTGTGGACATGTGGGTATCATAAATTATTATCAAATGCTTCTAAAGCACCAGTTTATCTTTTTATGTTGGGGAGCTGTTGTGTAGTTGTGCACAAACTGTGGCACACATCTCAAAATGTAGTAATATTTAGTGTTTTGTTGTGTAATGCATGAGGCTCTGTTTGTTCACATACCCCGTGTCAGCCATCATCACCTGTATGGCAAGAGCCCATACATTGCCCCATGCACACACACACACACACACACACACACACACACACACACACACACACACACACACACACACAGGGCCAGGTTTCTAGGATTGTCCCTGGTCACCCAGGCATTAGCATCAAGGGTCAAGGGTCAGCCTGGGCTTACAATGCGTGAGCTGCCAGGGCCAGGGAGATTCTGTGATGGAGCTGTGACTGATTTCACACTCCCAATGAAAGATGAACCAGTAAATAAAAGAGTTTAACAAGGAAATTCCTCTATTAGCTGTAAAGTGAAAGATAAAAAAGAAAAAGTTTTTTTCCTTTTAAATCTTAACTTACTCTTAAATCTCAATCAATGTTAAAAGATGATATTAAGATAAAAAACAGTTTGAAAAACATTAGAAATAAATATATATGCATATTTACTTCTTTTGGGATTATGAAACTGTCTGACAACACAGACCTGACACATGAACTAGAATCACTGTGTTGTGAGATCAGCAGAAACACGGTTCTTTGTCTCTTTGTGAGAACGCACCTCTCAGGTTTCCTACTGGCCCCTATCGCTCTTAACCACCCCCCACCCTCACCTCCTTCCCTAAGCAGCACACCTGGGAGGAGGCGCTGTATCCCAGCCTTACCTCTCCCTAACCCCTGACCTGTAACCCCTCACTTTTTACCCCATCTTTTCTCACCACCATCGCCTGTGGCTGCTGTGAGAATGGTTGAGCATCCTGTAGTGACAGTACATGGAGAGGATTGCTGGTGTAGATTAAAGATAAAAAGCGAGGCTGTTTTTTTTTTGTGTGTCCGTCATCACCGCTCGCTGACTTCAGATAGGATCATCGAGTTGCCTGCATTCCAGGTAGGCTGAACTCACACGAGAGGAATTTACCATTCACGTTCAGAAGGACAACAGCAAAAGGTGTTTGCATGTTGCTACAGGGCGATAGATAGAATACATATCAAGTCCGGATTAATTACACTGAAGGAGGTTTTGCAATTTTTTGAAATGGGATTATACAACTTTGAGACAAAGAGTTAAATTCTAAAAATAATTCAGATTTCAATGCACTCTAGTTTTTCACGTTTTAAATTAGCACTAGAGATGAAAAAATCAAGAAAAAAAACACTGACAGTATCTCTGGAAATTAATAATTTAAAGTTTTTTTCAAAAGCAAAAATGGAAAATAATAAATGTTCATCAGTTTCTCAGACCAACACTCTTAAATTACCCTATTATAGTCAAAACAGTTGGGAGTATTTTTCAGAATTTTACATATATATTTTAGTCCAAACAATTAACTGATTTAAACAGATCAATAAATAATAATATGAATAACAACAATAATAATGATGATGATGCCAAGTTTCAGTCACAATCAGCACCTGTGTCTGAAACATTCAACTGACACTGGATGATGTTTGATTTTGCTGCAGAAAAAGTATCAAAGTAGAAGCAGGATGATTTTTGTTTTCTTGGCCATATGTTTTGTTTTTAATAGGCCTCTGTGGCTGCTCTCCTGCTGTGGCATCTCATTCAAATGAATGAGAGCACTGTTTTGTCACTGGCTGTGATGTGCACTGGAGTCAGTTCTTTTACAGTGAGTTAAACCGCTTTGTGGCTCAGACGCCTACTGAATTTCTGTTGGTTGTTTTTCATTTTTTCAAAGCTGTTGGGCATCCCATGTCTCTCATGCGCACAGGCACCCACAGTAGTAAACCAAAGGAGTAATCACAGAGCATAATGAGGAGATTGACTTCCACTGTCTCCTTAAGATCAAAAAAGGCTAGGGTTGTGTGGAGATTGGGGGCATTGATGGCTTTTTATGGCAGCGTCTGTGTGGACACAGCAGTCTCGGAGCAGACAGAGGCCTGATCCAGAGGATATGAGGGTGAGAGAATGGGGTAAGTGTGGACTGGGCCGTGCAACGAGCCCTAAACAGCCTTGTTTCACTGTGCTTCCTGTTCTGTCTGAGAGACGCCATTACTGCCTCTCTGCTAATTACCCCTCTAGCCTGTTGGGCTGCAGATCTCCCCCTCCCCTCCCCTCATGCTCTCTCAACCATTCCCCCTCTCCTGCTCTGTTTAATGGCAGGTCACAACATCTGTGATAAAACTCGCACTTGGTAGGAAGATGCCCCCCTCACTGAGACGTAGGCATAAAGAGGTAAAAGAGGTCCATCAAAGACAACCACAATAGATGTGGCATGTCGGACAGTCGTCGTTTGAAGGATCCACTTCTAACTATAGTTAGGATAAGTTAATACAGGGCCTATTTATAACATTTAGTTGCCATGGTTTTAGATTGGAGGCCAAGCATTTCCCCAACAGAGGGTTGTTGTTTTTCCCAGCTGGAATTTTATTTTGACAAAGCCAATACATAACTTTTCAATCCTTGCCTGAGGATATAATCTCAAGTAATTCTACAACAACCATTGAGTGGCTCTTTGTCAGCTGGAAGCAGTGTGTATGAGCTTATTTGTATGTTCACGTGTTGCTTTGTTTGTATCAGGTGTGTTTTCCCTGTCTAACCAGAAGCTAGACAGAAACATCCATAATATGTTTCAGCTCATTTTGAAACTCTATCGGGCCAGGTGCATTGATATATTTATTTTTCAACGGTGAAATGTTGAGCTCCGTACATATAAATTGGGCCTTGATCAAAGATAAAACTTAACAGTTCAAATATGATTTGAAGCTTTTTATTTATTAGGATTAACCCCTTGATGTATCATCTGGTTTTCAAGGGGGCCCTGAACACAAGTCCCCTTAATGATTTTCCGGTATTTTATTAAAAATGTCTATGTATGAATATTGCATTCTCCTGTATTAATATTACTCTGAACAATTCAGGAACTGTGGAGCTACAGTTCTGGGATTGAATCAGGTCCATTGTAAGTCTACACTGTTTTCCAACTTCTTCCTACTTGAAGCTGTGAGCAGTTAAGGCACATGCTTCAGAGCAAAGCCTCTATCAGTGTAACGTGACACCCAGCTCTTCGCCCTCATTCTTAAAGTCTGAGCAGGGGCCTGTTGAACCTGTGGATTAAAAGCAGAGTCACCCCTCTTCATTGGCCACATAGACCCCTGAGGCCTCAGGGCTGTTGCTATGGAAAGTATGTCTTGGGATGGCGATTGGGGAGGGGGCTCTCTAATGGTACTGCTGTAATGTCTGCGAGGATGTGGAGTAAGTGAGAGGGACAGAAATCTCAGGGATTGAGATTACTCGCTTTTTCATAGAAAATAGTCAGGCTTGTGTAATCCACAGTAAGAGCCTGTGCTCTGTAAGCCTATAGAAATGCTTCCCAAGGCTTGTTAGTGTAATGGCTTAGCTTTATGGCCAGATGTTCAGTAATAGTCAACTTAATTGCTAATGCTTAGCAGGCACTTGTTAGTTTCTGTGGAAGCAGGCTCTCAAGAGCTGACCATAAACCTTCTGCATGTGGCTGCAGATATTATTTATTGTAAAATAGAAATAAAGCAATTCAAGAATTTCTGTACAGATGTTTGGGTTGTACATCTGTGTTTAAAATTATGGCATTTTTAGCTGGCATTTTAACTTGAGAATGTTATTATCAGTTTTCAGGGTCGTGAATCTCTTAAAGGTTCAGTGTGTAGAATTTTGTGATATCTAGTGTTGAAGTTGCATGTTGCAGCTGAACACCCCTCACCTCACCCTCTCCTTCCAAACATGAAAAAGAACCTGTGGTAGCTTCAGTTGTTATAAAAACTCAAAAGGTGTTTAGTTTGTCCAGTCTGGACTAATGTAAAAAACATGGCGACCTCCGTAGAGAGGACCCCCTCCATGTAAATATAAAGTGTTTAAATATAAAGGACCTTTTCTGGGGTAAAGAAAACTATAATTCATACAATTTAGATGAAACGAACTACTGAAAACATCATGTGGACCTTTAAGGTAACTGACTATTTTACTGATTGACATCTCGCTGATTAGTTAGTCCGACATGGTAATATGATTTCCAGAATTCATCTGAATAACAAATCAGATGCAATTAATAATTATTTTAAATGTCAATTAAAATGACAATTGTCGATAGGTTATATTTTCAATGATTGTGCAGTCTTTCAATTTTTAGGAAATGGTGAAAAATCTAACAATTTACTCTACAATGAATGAATTTTTCAAATTCAAGACATTGATTCAAAAGAGCACAATAAATCGCTCAGGAGTTTCAAACTGATTATACAGTTGAAATCAATGACCTCCCATTCTGCTGCTGTGATACTGTTTGTACGGTTAAATTTGCCGTAAACTCTAAAATCTGCTGTATGTTTTTGTTTCCAGGTAAATTTGAGGAGAAAGAGGACCGGGTTCCCAAACTGGAGCAGCTGAACTCTCTGGGTTTCATGTGCAGCCTGAATCTGGTTCTCAACAAGAAGGATCTGATCAAAATGGAGCTGCTGCTGCTGGAGACCTTTGGCTGGAATCTGTGCATGCCCACACCCGCCCACTTTATTGACTTCTACCTCCATGCCTCTGTGCAGGAGGGTGACCTGTACAACGGCTGGCCGCTATCCTCCCTCTCCAAGACCAAGGCTTTCATGGACAAATACACTCACTACTTTCTGGAAGTCTCACTGCAAGGTGGGTCTAGAGGTGGAGGGTGACACTGCTTTGTTTGTTCATGAACAGATCTGCGTGTGATGTAAGTTTGACAAAAGGATTTATAAAACTCTTGTCTCTGGATTCTTCTAGATCACGCCTTCCTGAGTTTCCGACCATCTCAGGTGGCTGCTGCATGCGTGGCAGCCTCTCGCATTTGCCTGCAGATTTCCCCAAGCTGGACGACAGCTCTGCATCTGCTAACAGGCTACACCTGGGACCACCTCACACAGTGCATTGAACTTATGCTGCTGTAAGAGATACACAAGGCACACACTTATAGAGAAAATAAATCAAACAGAAAGCCAGACTGGCAGATGAGCCCCTCATAGTGTAGATGACATTAAGGCCACTTTCTCTCTGTATTTTTGTTGCCATGGTTTTGCATTATAAGACATAGAGGCTTATTACACTGTGTGCAATAATGTGCTGTGTATTTAACAGCTGTAATTAAGTTGGACATTTTTTGTGCAGCGGGAGGCAGTGTGTGTTTGTTTGTCTGCTCCTCTATAAGTATATTTGTTTGGACATGTTCAGACTAATTGTGTGGGAGTAAAAAGGGTTGGTTTACACTGATCTCTGCTCCTGTTAATGGATTTATCAGAGCACTAGGAAAATGTCCCTGATGTGTTCAGACGTCTAGTTTTCTCCCTACAATACAATAATGGGATTAGTTGATATTCATCACCAAATATACAGTATTTATTTTTCATCTTCTTGATGATGACTGAAATGTTTGTGCCTCTCCCCTCCACAGTGCTCATGACAACGACGTAAAGGAAGCCAACAAAACCAAATCCACTCCTCCCCACCGTCCCTCCTCCCTGCAGTCTCATCCCCAGACCTCTCACCTCTCTCCAATGTCAGCCATCCAGAGACCTGCCTCCTCCTCGTCCTCCACCTCTTCCACACCGCAGCTGCTCTTTCAACCTGATGGCTTCCCACACCTCTCCCAGCATTCCCCGTCCCTATCCCATCTGCAAGCGCTCGCTGACTCCCAGGCTCTGGGGCCCGTGGTGAACATGTCTCAGGATTTCCTTCAAGGCCACAGGATGGGTTTGCTAACTGGGGCTCCCTCCATAACTCCTGGCAGTGGGTTCCCCTCTTACCCAAGCCTGACCTCAGGTCTTCAGCCGGTTACACGTGCGCTTCCACTCCAGGGCCCGATTTCTGTACAGATGGCTCTCGCAGGTGAGCCACGGCACTGTCTGAGTATGGCCTACACTGGGGGCTACCTGGGAGCTCATCACACCTTTGCAGCTGGCTGCTTTGACAGGTGACGCCAGGAGACGGAGAGAGATCGCAAACCACCGCGGGAGTGCACTTCTGTGCTTTCAACCCAGCTCCCTACCCTGAAACATCCACTCACAGACCTCCTTCCTCTCTCCGTCGCCACCGCAACACCATCAGCATGTCCAGCCCCCCCGCCCATCTCACAGACACGCCTCAAACGCAAGCAGAGGTCCAAAGGCAAGAGGGACCCGGTGGAAGTCATCACACTGTCGTGACAAACGCTCCACTGACTCATGAAATACTGAGGCATTGCAACAATGTAATTGCCACACTCTGAACTGGTTTTCTAAATCTGTTATTGTAGACTGTCATCACTGTGAATGAGATGAAAGCAGCAGTGTGATCGAACACCCACCTCATTCAGTGCCTGTGCTCAGTTGTGTGATAGCTGAGCCAATTTTAGAAGTGCACAGAGCAGCAGTATCTGGGATAAGGATATCTTGCTGCTGAACATGTTTTCTTTTCTTCATTTTTCTCATCCCAAAAATTTTCCAAATTCAGAGAGAAAAATTGGCTGGAATTTTATTTTGAGCCTTCATTTAGAGGCGATGGAAGAAGAAACAGAGGCTTGTTGCTGACTTTGCAAGAAACAAGACTATGCATGTTACTGACATTTTTAGGTTGCGTGTCATTAATTTCAGCAAACATTGATCTAATGTCCGCAAGCTCTGTTAGAGCTGAAGGGCCCCTCTGGGAATTCCTCACCACACAAGACCTCAGAGGAGATGAAGAATTCATTGTTTTGTTCACAGCAGGTGACGTCCGCTGCTCGAAAAATGCCTGCGGTGTAATTTTTTTTTTCTTCTTCTTTCTCGTTCCTCTCCTCACTGTCATTGTCATCTCTTCTCTCCCACCTCCAAAGTCGAGCCTTGTGGCAGAGCCATCACACACCTGCGTGATAATGTGGCTGGCTTGAAGCTGCAGGCTTTGTCATACTAAAGTTTGAATATCTCCAACATCCGCCGCTCAAAGAGTTGAACACAAACAGATGTGACTGGACCAGCGCGGTGAAGGAGACGTGGACTTTGGTTGTGTATTGTACATATGAATTGCTGCTGCCTTCTTATGACCTGTTGGTTCTGTGTCTGTGTTAATGACTCCAATGTTTACATGAACCACTAAGTATCAGGGACTTTAACAAGATTACTTGAATATGATGCCATTGAAACATGCCATAGCTTTTATTTATAACGACTTGTTGTTTTTTCTTGATTTTTTTATTTGTATTATTCATTTTGTTTGAAGTAGTGTAGCTTTTTTTATACCAACATAGAAAAATCCCATTTGTTAATAATATTTTTTGTACCTGTTCATAGTAATTGTATTTTCAGGCTCAGGTTGTATGGCTGAATTCACAGCCCTCTCATTACTCTGTACTCGTATGCTTTAAAGCAGATGCTCCTGCAGCATCTGTGGGGTCTGAAATGTCCCCCTTCTTCATCACTGGACCATACACTGCTGACTACTCAAAATGGTGCGCTTTGCATGGCTGTGGAACAACCTTGTGCTCGCTGCGTTAACACGAAAACGTCTGTAGCCAGTCGTCCGTAATTGCTTCCAAGATTTCTAAAGCTGCAATCCCCACTCGTCCACTTCCTGTTAGAGCATAAACACATCCAGATTCCCGGTGCCAGTAGCTCACTAGTTACCATGGCAATACTTTGAATGACCATCCCAGGTTCCTGGATGTCATTAACTGAAGTAGGGCCGTAACATACCGTTGCTTGCATTGATGGTTATTATCTTGATTAAACGGTCAAAATCTCAAACATATTAATTCACTAGCATATTTGACAAAGCAGAAATTTTCTCATCTGAGGTGGATTCAGCAAGAATGAAAAATTCAAGAGACCCTGTGCAGAGACGTCCCAAAAAAATGTTTAAGGCTGCGAAAGATTCCGGTGCACATGTGATATCTGTCAGACCACAGTGCATTTCGGCTTGTTATGTTTCTGTGTGGAAATGAAAGTACAGGAGTTGGTTGACGGTGGTAAAGATATTTACAGATTCTGACGTTACGGATTCATAACTTAAAAACACCAAAAGTCCTTAAAACACAAGCTCAGCTTCCTTCCATTCAGAGTAAAATACACAAGCTACAGATTTATTTCTCTTTTCCAAAGTGGGAGTTGTAGTCTGACCGGGAGGAGACCATTTGTGTGTGTATTGATTTGGAGACTACACTGGACAGCAGTGATGCTATTGAATATTTGTGGAGTTTTTTTTGGCGCTGCCCTCTCGTCTTACTTTCTGCTGTGCATAGAGACCAAGGGTTCACTCCTGATTGGATTTCTGCTCGTTTTGGTAAATAAAGCTGTAGCTGGTTCTGTACATCAATCTGATTGGAAGGAAGCAAAGTTTAGGAATATTTCAGTTATTTTTTCAGTTATTAATAAAGGGCTCTGTAAAATTCAAATTAAATAATTTGATATATTTTTTTCTCAGTTAATCAATTCACCATTTCAGCTGGAGACTGAGTGGAAACCAGCACCTGCTCTGTGTTTTTTTTGCTTGTTCTGGAAGAAACAATTTTTTTTTATATTTGTTACAATTTCTCACAGACTTCTCTTTACTCACATTTGAAATGTTCTGAAGTTGACTGACGTTTCAAACTGTTTACGTTGTAGACTCGAGACATCACAGCCTTGTCCTCAGCAGCTGCCATTCACAGTCAGACATGTGCATCTCTTAGATAGAGCTTCATGAAGCCCACTCAACCATGCGACACTCCGAGTGGTTTTATCATGAATCGCCAGATGTTTTACAGCCAGATGTGTTTGTTTTCTCAACACTGAAAAGGACGTGCTAATCTGCTTTTCCAGTGATTTGAACTGAGATACTATGCCTTTGTTTTGCTAACTATTCTGTATAGTTTTGTTGCATTTTTTTTTTTACATTCCCTTTGTTTTCCTTGTACCTTAGTTAAAGCTTTTTCCGATTCTCTTGACAAATGCTGTTGGTGTTAACTAGTTTTTCTTTCTTCAGAGTTCAACTTGCTCTTTTCCTGATCATCCATGAGCAACTTCTCACTGAGGTGTCAACGGTGCAATAAGTTGTTTTTGTTTTCCTGTTTAAACTGACCACAGCCATCACTGTCTCGTGTGCACCACTGGTTCATCTTTTTCTAAGTTATTTTTGACAATTGTGTGATTTGACTTGCTGTAGCTTGGTTTCCTCTATAGGGCAGAGGGCTCTGAACACAATGAATATGTTGCATATTGCAGCAACTTTCTTTAAGTGATAGTTATTACTGAATGCTTTTGTGTTTTAGCTAGAGATTTACTGGGCATTTTTCCTTCCACGAAAGGTGCTGATGTCACCCACACCAAAAAACCAACACTTGTCTAATGTGATAGTAATGAAACGACACCACAAACACCCAATTAATATTTTTGTATGATTTTTTGCCAATCTGTAGTCTTGTTTTATGTGACACAGAATGATAGAACGAATTCCTTCATCATAATGTGCCATGGAAAAATAAACCACACCAGTGAACTGAGTTTCTGAGGGGTGTGTTTTCTTCTCACGTGCCTGCAGCTTTCTGGAAAATGATGGCTGCTGTTGGCCCCAGAGATAAAACCCAGCAAACAAACCTCCAGCTGTGACCACATGCTATGGAAACTACTATTTCATCTTTCATCACCAATCTCTTTGAATATTATAACCAGAGGTGGCATCTTTCAGCCTGAAGACAAAGTTATTATTCAATGTTTGAGAAACAAGTTCAAGTCTCTCTTCTGCTTCTTAACTCCGCCTGCACAGCTCAGTCAGGGCTTTCTATGTCTTATGGCATTTTGATATATAGAAATCTATTCAGTGACGATGAGGCTCTCGCTCACACACAGTTCATTAAAATTCTTGCAAACAGACCACCCTCCTTGTGTTAGACACAGCACAGTGGACTCTTAGAAATTTCTGAGCTGAGCTCTGTTCTCTCCCATGCAACAGAATATTTGTTCTGTTATGAATTGAGTTGAAAATCTTTAGTATAATCACATGCAACCCAGCTCACAGATCTTTAATCAGCATTATTCTGAACTAGCACTCAGTAGAGCACATACCTCTAACAAGGCCCGGAATTCAATCAAGCTGCACCAAATTACACACACTTACAGACGACTGTCCCCTAAACAAGTCTGATTTCTTTCCATAGAGATCCATGAATTATTCCTGAGGGAAATCAGTGACATTATCAGAAAATCTTACAAATTTCATGGAAATTGATTAAGTGTTTTTTGTGTAAACCTGCTGACAAACAAACCAGAATGTTACTCAGTAGAGCACATTCCTCCACCAAGGCCCAACAGTCCCCCATGAAACCACATTTAAATTCACTTGATCCAGATTTATAGTTGGATCTGCACCATTTTCCACAAACTCATAAATATCAGTCCCATAAACTTTTTTTTAAGGTTCATAAGTTATAATCAGAAAAATCAACCAAAATGTGAAAATATCTCAATATGTTACAGTAAGAGAGATGAAAAAGGTCCTGGATCTGCACCAAAATTGAATGGGTTTTCCCCGACCCATACCACATCCTTCCATGAAGTTTCATAGAAAAGAAAGTCCAGTATTCTAATCTTGTTTACCTACAAACACAGATGAAAACATTACCTCCTTGGTTGATGAAATCTAAAACACAATATCTTAAAACACAATTTTCCTCCACATGGGCCACTTCCAAATGTAATTAACGTGATTGTAGATTATAGAATGATTTGGCAGTGGCTTCTCATGCATAGCATTTGTACGATTTAAACAATATTTGGTACAAACATGTATTGATGTTGAGATGTTGAGAGAAGGGGGTTCTTTAAGATCTCCAATGTTCAGTGGCCCATCTGTAAAGGGAGGAGGTGGAGGGAGGCTCCAGTGCTCAGGGCCGTCACTTTAATAATGGATCGTTCTCTCACTCCTGTAAGCTTTTGTATGTGGAGCTGAAGTCGCAGGCTGTTGGCTTCCTTCAAATGTGTCCTCGGGGAAGAATTTGGAATACTGTTGAGTGGGGGGTGCAGGGTGGGCTGCTCAATATGTGTTTGTGGTGGGGGTCTCGCTGCATGTGCCTCAACCTACAACATTATCTTTGGGATCGGGCTGCTGAGTGTAAATTAATATATAAACTTAAGACGTAAGCTTTCGTTGACACTCAGTAATTACTCCAATATGTGGCTGGATTCATGTTTGTCGTCTTTTCTTTTTCCCTTTTTGATTTTTTTTTGGTGCAAGGTTCTTGTGTGGCTGCTGCTTTATTTCCTTATTTCCCAAGTCTCAGGATTTCTTATTTCAGTTTTGTGCTTATGTGGCACATTCTCCTAAATGAATTAGTCAATTAAATGACCACACAGCAACACACACAACAACACGTGGTCAAAGGAATCGGGGGTTAAAAGAAACCTGGCAGTTTATTTTTGCCTCGGGCCCCATAACAGGTTTTTAGAGCTTTTTCATCATTTACATCCACTTGGAACATGAATAAAATATTTCTGTGCTTTAAAAATTCAGTTCAATTAGAAATTTTCATACTCAAATATCCTCTGATTAATTTATTTTAGTATAATTGGAACAATTTCTCACCATGAAATTGAAGCTGTACTTTATCACCTCATGTCAACTTAAATGATCAAATAGATAAAAATACAAATTTTTGTTTTATTGATACAGTTCCTGTCGACAGCATTGTGACATTATAATTTACATAATATGGTATCTAATGATAAAAACTGTAACATGTATGTTTGATATTGGTTTAGGTCTCTGATTTAAAAAGGCATTTATCAAATAATTTGAAGGAAACAGTTTTAAGTGGATTTAACAGTATCCTTGTTATCATTGGTTTCTTTAGTCTGCAACTTCTTGTATTTACTGATTATCAGCTTTAAAAAGGTCTGTGTCATTAAAATCCAGATTCAGTCCTCAGGAGAATGAATGACAGAAAGAACGGCCACCCTCCTTTTTGTGATGTGTGATGTCACATGTTAAAAATCATTAAAACCTCAGAAAACCCTTGTTTTATGAAACAATAGACATTCAGGTCATTTGATGAACACTTCATTTTCTCTTGCGTGAATATCCAACAAAAGCTCAGGTTACACAGAAAAGTGAGTTAGACTTTGAACTATATCATAAATCAGTATAAACTGGAGATTCTAGCAGTTTAGACTGGATCCAACAGATCCACAGTAACAGATGGATGTGAAGAGGTGTTTCACAGAGGAGCGATGACGCCTCTCAGTGGTGACAGTGGAGTAGTGCCACTCTTCTTCAGAAGCAGAGTCAGAGGGGAGGATGTGAAATACTAGTGGATTTACCAGAGTTACACACGATCAGCTGTAGAAGTTATCAAATTCAAATATGATGATTAAAGGGAATTCTTACTAAAATAGACTTAAAACTGTGTTTTTTATTTACTCTGTTCACATACATGTAAACTGTCCTGTCTGAAATGCTTACGAACATGTTAGCCTGATAATCAAACAGCCATTTCATTTCACTACATATCACGTGTTTCGTCAAGTTATTTTTTTCATTGTTTTTTAATTATTGAAATAAATGGAGGATAGTGGCAGTTTTTCTCCCAGGCCTAGTTTACACAGGTGTTCATGATATTAGCTTCATGACACCAGAAAACCTCCCGAGGCAGATTTCTCCTTGATCAAATATTTATTGAAATATATTCTGCCGTGTGGGCCCGGCCCTGTTCGCCTCCTGCACCTGCGGCCATTAATGTCTGGCTTCATAATGCTGAGAAACGTCCAATATCATCGACAGATATTAGCTCAGTTACATTTTAAAGAACAAGCCACATGATGAAGAGGCGTGCTATGTTTGTCTGGTATTAGGTAAATATTATTTGGACCTAATGCATTAATTCTGGTAGATCTTTTAAATCAAAAACAAGCCAGTAACACCAACTATCTGAATAGATATTCTCCACAGAATAGATTTGATATGATATAAGAAATATGCACACAGTTGTTAAACCAGATCAACTGTCGAGGTGTGACTTCATAGTTCTGAATCAGCGAAACAATTCATATAGTTCATTAATGTGTCCCAGGTATTTTTCATTTTCTTTATGGGGCCTTTAAGGGTGTATCAGATTTTTGTACAATCACAGTTTTGATCGCGTTGGTTGTAAGATGGAGATATTACCTACTTCCACTTATTACTTCCATTTTCCATTTTCTGTAAATGAGCAGGGAGACTGGAAACAAGTGAAACAGAAGATAACCCCAAAATAACATTTATACAAGAGGGCCTGTATCACAACCAATGGAACTGGTGTCAAAAAAGTACAAACAGAGATGGGGCAGGTTTTGGACATAACCCACATAATGTAGATGGTTGCTGGCATCTGCTTCACATATTAGACAGGTCAGGTAGATTTTGAGTTTCCCTCTCAGTCCCACCTTCTGGTTGACTAAAAACTTGAATCTAATGGAGACACATGGAGCTGGATCATATCAGTTTATTTTTCATTGTCACTTTGTCACAGTCAATATGGAAACCAATCATCCTGGTAAATTAGTAGCACGGTGGTACAGTGTAGAGTTTGGGTGTTCTGTCTGTGTCTGCATGGAAATACTCCAGCTTCCTCCCACAGACGATTGAGTGTAGAGTAAATTTAACTGTCCGTAGGTGTGAATGTTAATTTGTATCCCACCACTGGCACAGTGTCAGAGGGGATTGGCTACCCCTCGAAGAATAATGGCTGTCTGCTAAAATGGTAACTTTGTGGTACTTGAGTCTCTTGAGGAACAGGCTGGTGCTTCTTAATAATCCACATATAAATGCATATGGAAACATTCTGCTACTAAGTGGCACAACAGGTGAAACTCTGACTGCAGGCCGGCAGGCATTTAAATTCATTTGATTGAAGAGGGAAAACATGGAAATGGCCCAGCCAGAAAATTAGCGTGTTCTGTTGAACAAAAACAGCATATAAAGAGGATCAGGTCTGTTATTTAGTTTGAGTGTCAGCAGAGAACATTCGTTATGGCTTTTACAGGGAAGTATGTGCTGGAGAGCACCGAGAACTACGAGGAGTTCTTGGAAGCTCTTGGTGAGAAACCTGTATTTAGATAACATTTGCAAGATGAATTGGTTAAAATGTGATAACAATGGTGTATTTTCTCTGTAGGAATTAATATCCCAAAAAACCAAGGAAATGAGGAAATCATAACAGAGATCTATCAGAATGACGAGTTCAGCGTGACTAAATCCGTGAAGGATAAAACCTGGTACAACAAATTCTCCATTGGGAAGGAGTCGGAGCTGCAAACTGTGGATGGCGAGAAATTCAAGGTCAGTTCATTGTCATTTTCCAATGTATAAGCAGTTATTTTAAACATCTAAACACTGGCTTTTCCACCTGCAGTTTGATCGATGATGCATTTTGAATTTTCAGACCACTGTCACTCTGGAGGGAGGTAAATTGAAGATTCAGTTTCCCAAATTCCTTTACACTGCTGAGGTGGTCAATGACAAGCTCGTCGAGGTGAGCACATACGACTTTACGCTGGTGTAGTGGTGAATGTGTGTTTGTCCGTGTGTGTTTGTGTATGTGTGTGTGTGTGTGTGTGTGTGACGAAGCCTTTTGAGAACATCTTTGTGTTTTCTCTCATTTAAGGTCCAAGCTGTGGGTGCAGTAGCCACCAAGATGATTAGCAAGAAAACAAAATGAGTCAAATTAAGATCTCATTAAATTATAAGACAATAAATCATTAACTCTCAACAATAAAATGCGTTTGTTGTTTTCTTTCAACAGCACAATTTCAGAGATGGGTTAACTTTGCCTCTCTATTCACAGGCAGCTGCTTTAATTCATCTATGTTAACTGTAGATCTCATTAAAGCTAATTAGCACTGAATGAGAAAAGCTTTATAAGACACTAGTTTTAAGAAACAAATTTTTTAGTTGCTACTGGCAACCCTGCTAATTCCAGTTAGACCAAAATAGTTTGAACTAGAATGACACTCAGTAGAGAGCATTACCTTGGCCAAGGCCCAACAGTTCTCTTAAATTCAAACAAGCTGCACCACATTTCACACACTCATAGATATCACTTCCCTAAATATACCTCATGGGAAAACTGTGAAAATGCTAAATAAGAAAGGGTTTGCCTGATAAAAGTCTATTACCGAGTCTTTGCAGCATAATAAATCACAGATTGCAAGTTGGACAGTTTATGGGAGCTCTTTTCACAGTTTTTGATCTACTCATCCCTCTGCTACAATCCGCCCTCTGATCTGCATCCTGCCTGACTCGTACCACATCCTTCTACCAAGTGAAATTCCGTCCAGTAGTTATTGCATCATCTCACTTACCAGCAAACCAACCAACAAACAGACACGGGTAAAAACATTACCTCCTTAATTGGCTTTAGAGAGATTAAATAATAATTATAACAATAAATTATCTTTGCTCAGGCATTGTTAATATATAAATGTTCAGATTGAGTAACTGGTATATGAGGCATGTTTAAACCTTTGTTTGTGTTTATGTGTTTAAGTTAAGAAGAAATATCATCAATTCAATATCACTGAGCTGAAACCAATTTTCAGAAAATGTCATTACTGCACTGAAATACAGGTTTTATTCATTATTATCTTTATTTTTATTGAATCAAAGAGGAATACTGTTGCAGGTGAAGGGTCTATAGAAATACAGCAGATAACACAGCATAGTTTATTTTATTTATTTTTTAACATTTCTTTTACATTTCTTTAGCTAAAAGTGAAAGAATGCACAAGAAAATCCCACTTGCTCCTTGATACACATGGTGAAGTGATTATTTTAAACTGGTGAAGGCATTTTCATGATGTGTTCCTCTGCCTCCCGCAGCCTCTTTTCCACCGCTGCATGTTGAGTCTCGCAACCTTAGATCCGTTTGCTGACTCTTTTGAAAGTCACACCCTTCTCTCCTGGAGTTATGCAAGTCTACAGAGCATGTGTGGGGAAGATAAAGTGAAAATATAACAAACAGCAGCCTGTATTTGGGTCACATTAAGGTTACATGAAATTAGTATTGTGGTGTTCACAGTTTGAGCGACTGTTACTCTTACCATCACTAGTTTATCTTCACTCAGCTCTGCTGTCAAGCTGTACTGAGGAAACTCTATTGCAATCTTGTTGTCTGCCATAGTGACTGTGGCCTAAAGGTCACAAGGTGAAAAGGTCACAGAGGAAAACTAGTGGTGCAGGTTGGGTATATATGAAAACTCGTCTGTCATGAACTTACCTTGAATTTGGAGCCCTTCATCGTCTCCAGCTCACACTCCTGGTCAATAGTGAAGCTATTGGACCAGGTCCAGTTGGGGATGGTTTGCGTCCAGATGAAGTGGTTCCCGTCCTGAACCACGTCCGTCACCACTTTGTGGTCGGTCTTGGCGCTGAGAAGCCCTGTCACAGAGTGGGCGAAATTCCAAATGAAAACAGTCAACAAACTTAAATGAATGACAACTAACGTTTATCTGCAAAAAAACACTCATAATACCCAAAGCTTCCAGAAACTCCTCGTAGTTCTCCTGACTCTCCAGCTCATATTTCCCAGTGAACGCCATGATGGTGAAAGAGAGGAGTTACAGAGTGAAGGAGTTCAATAAGAAGAGAGGAGTGGCCTTCAGTTATTACTCACTGCCAAACTCTCCTCCTTTTGTTGCACCTCACCCCTCGTGTGAGAAATGCCAGCAATGTTTTTCACAGTTTGTCACCTTGTTTTAAATACACTGATCTAATAGGACCAAGAGGTATTTCCCTGCCCCTGTACCTTTCAGGTTCTTCCAGCACTTCTGTCATGTGATAAGATTTCCTCTTCATGTTTAGACTTGTATTATATAGTAAAATGCTCAGCCCACAGGGCTGATGTATGTTCAGCTATAGTGAACTCTTTTTTCCACCTGTGAGGTTCAGGGATGAAAATCCATGTACTGCAGCGAGCCACTGAAGTTTGAGGCTTTGAAAGTTTCTTCTCGAGAACTGTCTGAACTAACAAGACAAAATCAACTACTGAACCACAACCGGTACACCACAACCACAACGAGGTGAATTACGGTATGTTCTCTAGTAATTAGTATTTGAACTATGTGCCAGAGTTCTTCTGTCTGTCAATGTCACGGTTAGTGGCAGCAGAAACACAGGCTGTTGCTGCTGGTATGTTACTTTAATAAATGAATGAAAAGTGGATTACAGCCAAATGGGAAAATCACACACACACACGCATGTCTCTCTATATAACCCTAACCCTAACCCTAACCCTAACCTAAATGTATTCTAATCCTAACCCTAACCCTAACCTAACCCTAACCTAACCCTAACCTAAACGTATTCTAACCCTAACCCTAACCTAACCCTAACCTATTCTAACCCTAACCCTAACCCTAACCCTATTCTAACCCTAACCCTAACCTAACCCTAAAACCAAGTCTTACCCCTCAAAAAGCCAATTTAATTTGTGAAGAGCAGCCAAAATGTTCTCACATCAAAATGTCCTCACAATGATGGTATTGAACCAGAATTGGCCCTCATAACTATAGATAGACATCGCTGCTTCTCTTCATGTCTCCTCTTGTCTCTTTGCACAGTCTCATCCTCATCTGTTTTTCTCCAAGTCTTTTTTATCTCTCTCACCATCTCTCATACTCTAATTTTTTCTCCTCCTTCTCAGCATACACACACACACACGCACACATGTTCGTACATCTATCTTAGTGAGGACACTCAGTGGCATAATGCATTCCATAACCGTTAGTGTAACTCACAACTACATGTCTTACCCTAACCACAACCTAATTCTATCACCAGCCCTAAAACCAAGTCTTAACCAGGAAACAGTCGCCCTCACTTTTCCAAAAAGTTCCTCACTCCATAGGTTCTAGTCTCAAAATGGTACTCACAAAGATATATGTACAAGAACAGACACACACACACAGATATATATATATATATATATATATCACAAGGTTGTGTCTGGTACAAGTCAGTATCTGGATCTAAAGTGCTGATCCAAGCTATGAAACCAACCCTGACGAACAGAAGCACATGCAACTCCAAATCATTGGTTTGTGTATTTCCATCACATCATGAGCAACTTCCTGAACTGAGGTTCATTTTTCATCTTTTTTATATATCTTTATATATATATATATATATATATATAAGTATTCAGTTTTTCACACCATTATACTGTATGGCCGCCCGGTGTGGACATCTTGAATCTTGAGGAGCAGAAACAGGTGAACAGCTATAGAGCTATTGAAAACAGGCTGAAATGAATTCTTACCAGGAGGACATGGGTGGGCAGAAGGAGAATTGAATCACTGATTGGTTGGGAGATTGAACTGTTCATTGCTTCTTTTTGGAGTCTTACATACAGAAATCTAAGCCTGTGTGAGATGTTGCTCGCTGACTGCTCTTTCACCTTGCACTGCAGTAGCCACCTCATCCCAAAATGTAAACTGAAACATACGTAGAAGGAAAACATTTGTATAAACTGCTGTAAGACAAAGTGCTCTCCTCTGAATGGAGGTTTGGACCTTATCAGGTCAGTCATCTCCCTTCCAGCTCAATGTGTAATAGAAAATAAATGCATGTTTTGAAAATAAATGCTCTCTATATATATTCAAGTGTTGGCAACCCTGCCCCACAGAACCATTCTGCACATCCTGAACTCCTTTATCTGTCAAAGAAACCTGCTGTTTATTCACTTTATGCAACACAGACTGGATGAACTCTCTGCTTCTAAGAAACTAACCAAATAAATGTATGTTCCAAATATTTCTGGAACGTGCAGAAGAGCCTGGATCACATAAACCGACAAGACCTAAATGCTTACAGTGTCAGGTCTTTCAGGTGGAGTCAACATTAAAGATGAGAAATGAACCTCAGTTCAGGAAGTTGCTCATGATGTGATGGAAATACACAAACCAATGATTTGGAGTTGCATGTTCTTCTGTTCGTCAGGGTTGGTTTCATAGCTTGGATCAGCACTTTAGATCCAGATACTGACTTGTACCAGACACAACCTTCTGATCTGGAGTCAGACACGCTGGAGTCTGATGAACCCATCAATTCACTCAATCAATCAATTTTAGTACATGTCACTGACTCTCTCTCTCTCTCTCTCTCTCTCGCTGTCTCTGTCTGACTTCTTAATGTATCTCTGGCAGGATCCAGTTCTGACATAACTTAACAATTATTGTTATCTTATAAATTGGTGCTGCTCTCATTAATAACATCATTTCATCTATAAATATCACTCACTTATTTTATACAACAACTGTTCCTGGTCTCTCTCTCTCTCTCTGTCTCTCTCTCTCCGTCTCTTTCTCTCTCTCTCTCACTTTTCTATAATTTTGTGATGTCTTCACCTTACTGTGCAAAGTGTGATTTGGTAGCATAAAAATAAAATCAGTCACTTAAGGGAATAAATTATGATGCAAGTTTTTTTTTTCACATCCAGAAAGTATAGAGAGAGATTAAGAGTTTGAGTCTTATTTAAGTTTATTTACGTATTAATCACATTCCCAATATTGATATTCAGAATGGTTTGAAAATCCAATATACAAATACGATGACGTTTGATGATTGTGCGCACAACAGATAAACCAGGTTATACTATATTCACACAACATACCATGAAAATATCAAGTGACTGAACAGCAAAGGTCATCATTGGTCTCATCACACATTTTACAGTCAGTTTTTTTATTTTTGTCATGTCCATTATTTTTACA